AACATGTGAAGGCACTCCACGTTGAACACCCTGTTGCTGTCGCCGTTGCGCACGTAGTTAAAGCACTCCTTGGTGGCCCTCCCCAGCGCGTTGCTGCGATGGCAGCCCTTGGAGCAATTGATCAAGACCACGACGCCCTTGATGTCGGGCTCGCCAATCAGCTGCTCCGCGGCCGCGAAGACGCCGTTCACGACCTCCTTCACGGCGCGCATGAATGCGTTCTGGCCGAACACGCTCAAGATGGTCTTCGGCGAGGAGCCATCCTGGTCGTGCGACACTCCGTCCAACCCAGGATCTCGCATGACCTGCCTCAGGTCCACCTTGAACGGCACGATGTCGGACTCCTCGACGATCCGCGACGCCCAGACCGACTTGCCGTGGTGCACCTCACCGTATGTGAGGATGGCAACTGGCACAGGGATCGCGTGCTCGCGCACGTAGGCCGCAAGCTCCCGCGCGTGCTCGTCCATGGCACGCGACGGAGGAGCGCGTCACGACGGCGCGCTGGAGCGTCGGGCCCGTGGGGCGCGCGCGCGCTGGAGCCCCGAGCGGTGCTCAAAGGCTCGAGAAAGCCAAAACGGCAATGGCGATGACAACGATGATGAACGTTACTTTGCCCATAATTTCTGTACTGATCAGTGCAACGGTTGGAGATGGTGACTCATGGCAATGACGATGATCATACATAGACATATACATACATATACGGGGCGTCATGAAGTCGCTGATGGGGGCTGAAGCAAGGGCGTCGGCAGGCGTGTGTCGACCATCGTTCGTATGAGATCTTCAGCGCGGGTGTCAGAAGCGATGGTGATGATGATGCTAATGGGGGTCGCATCGGTCAGTCGGCCATTGGTGGTCGACAATTGGCATGCGAACGAACCAATGCTGCATGTGTTGAGCGGCCCCGGGGAACGCAGAGGGCCATTCCCCAACAAATAATAGAAACATATCCAATAAATAATTCCAACGCCCCCAACAATTAATGACGAAATATTCTGAAAAAATATTGAAAATACAACATGATACTGAAACCCTAAACTAGCCGAACACATACTCGACGCGACCGTCGGCTGCCAGCGGCGAGACCCTGAGCGGGGACGTGGGCCGGCAGGCCGCGATGGATCAATTAACTGGGAGCAATACGAAGGACAGAACGGTCATGGAAGGGGACATGGAAGCAGCACGTGGACGAGGAGAAGAGTAGGGCGGCACGAGGAGAAGAGAGGCGTGGTGGGGCGGGCAGCACGCGAGCCCCGTCTCCTCCTCCTCCTCCTCCTCCACCTCCTCCTCCTCCTTCTACTCCTCCTCCTCCTCCTCCTCCGCCTCCTCCTCCTGCTAGTGCCAAAGAGGAAGTCTCTGCGCCGCACTCTAGGCATCCTCCTCTTCCTCCTCCTCCTCCTCCTCCTCTTCTCCAGTCTCGCCATCGGCGCGCCGGCGTGCGCTGGCGCTCCAGTCCAATCTATCCTATCGCCCTCAGCCGACTGGTGCGGCTGCTGCGACTGGTGCGGCTGCTGCTGCGACTGGTGCGGCTGCTGCTGCTGCGACTGGTGCGGCTGCTGCTGCTGCTGTTGCGGCCACCTGCTGGGGCCGCTGCTGCTGCTGCTGCGGCTGCTGTTGCTGCGGCTGCTGCTGCTGCGGCTGCTGCTGCTGCGGCTGCTGCAGCTGCTACCACGGCCTGCTGAGGCTGGTGCGAGGACGGGCGGGGGGGGGCAGCAAGGCTGAGGCCGACCCACATGGCCACGCAGCCGTCGCCCGCCCCCTCCCCCGCCGGCGGTGCCTCACGCAGCCGCGCCGAACGCGTCGGAGGGGACCTCACCGTCGCCCACCTCCAGGATCTGGCCGCCGCCCGCGAGGGCGGCGGAGACGCAGGTGGGCATATGCGCCCGCGCGCCCTTCTGCTCGAGCTCGGCCTTGGGCTTGTCAGCCGCAATCTGGGGGCGGGGACGGATGGGGAGATGATCCTCCTCCCCAGCTGCCGCCCCCAAACACATCCTCCTCATCCTCCTCCGCAGCATCATCATCATCATCAGCATCATCATCATCAGCATCATCATCAGGATCATGATCAGCATCACCATCATCATCAGCATCATCATCAGCATCACCATCATCATCACCATCATCATCATCATAATCAGCAGCATCAGGATCATCATCATAATCATCATCATCATCATGCGTCTCCTGCTCACCGAGTTCTCCTACGGTTCCTCCGACCCCGCTCCACGCACCTACCCCGCTACTCATGATTATCAACATCCTCGCATCCTACTTCGCAACTCCTCCCCCCCCCCTGTCCGTGCAGCCTGTCCACGCCGAAACGCCTCATTCATCCTCTGCCCTCGCTTCCACCTATGAGGTTGCACTCCTGGATCCTCCCCCGAGCCGCGACTCCCGCGTCTGACTCTCGCCCCCCTCCATGTCAACCCTGGGAACCTTGAGCTTTTTGGGGCCCTTGAGCTGGGGGAAGGCGTACTTCATGGAGAAGATTGTGAAGGTAAGGGATGTGGTGACCATCCCCTCGAGCACGCGGGCCTCCCACTTGGACAGGTCGGTGGCCTCGAAGATGGTCGGGGCGCGCCGGGAGAGCTTGAGGCGCGCGCCCATGTCAGTGCACAGCTGGCCCAACTGTTTGAGCATTTTGTTTCCGACCAACTCCTTCGTCATTGGGTGCGGAGGACTGGCCAGCAGCACATCCTTCACGGGGCGCCAGTTCGGCTGCCAGTCCCCGATGCTGGTGTACGCGGCCTCGAAGCCTGCGATCCACCGAGACCGGGTCTCCACCAACGACTTCTCGATGGCGACTAGCGAATCGCGGATGGCCCTGGGGATCGGGAAGCCGTCGAACAGACCCGAGGCCGACCTGCCCTTCGCATCGAAGCAGGTCTCGAGGTTCTGCACAAACATCGGGCCCCTGAAGTCCGTGGAGGCGAGAAAAAGAAGAGAAGAAAAAGCGAAAAAAAAAAAATAAAAAAAAAAAAAAAAAAAAAGAAAAAGATCGAACGAAAAAAAAAAAAAAAAACCACCCGGATATAAGTATAATTCCCCTCACCGCCCCCCTTGCCCATTTCTGAATATATCCTCTAGATTATAAATGTGGTTTATGCGGGGGGGCGACCGAGGGAAGGACGGCGGAGACGACCCCCGCTGGGAATTCCTGAGAGAGGACCCCAACAGACTTCCAAGCGGGCCCCATGAGGGCGCCAAGAGATCCCCAACAGGACCCCTAGCGAGCTCAAGATGCGCCCAAGAGACCTCCGAGAAGCTCTCACCGACAACACATCACCTGGCATGCGCTTCGTTGTTCGAGAAGCCCCACTCCTCAAATAGTTTGCCTGAGAGACGTGGACCCTTTACACGGATAGCGCGCAAGACAGGAGGTGGAGGAGGAAGAGGAGGAGGAGAACTTCGTCGTCTTCTCCTCCACCTCCCCCCCTCCCCCTCCGCCTCCACGTCCACTGCGTCCACCATCGCCGCCTCATCCTCCTCGTCGTCTCCCATCTTTCCCCGTCGCCCTGGTACGCCTGCTCCCCAATGCATTCCGTCCTCCTCATGGTCCGACTGGTTTAACGCCCCAGTCCCAGTCGGCAAAGGTCATGCCGCTGGCTGCTTCGTGCGAGCGGAGGATGGGGTCAACCGTCAGCACCAGCTTGTCCATCGCATCTCTGCCGTCGACCCACGCCTTGGCGGCGTCCGCGTCGAAGTCAAGCTTGCACGTGATCAATGGGGCACCACGAAGCCACACCCTGCCTACGTTCATGATCGCCCCCACGTGCCAACGGAACACCTCGTCAGAGTACCTCGCGGCTTCAGTCGCGTCCTGGAAGGCCGCCTCGGCGCCCTGCGTGAGGGCCGCGCCGTAGCCCGAGCCGCAGATCAAGACCGCCCGCCCGATGATGTCATCTGGCGTGCAGAGGGAGTCGGCCCAGGCGGCCTGCCGGAACAAATCATTCGGGAAGTCGCCAAAGATGGCCCCATTCGCTATGCGGACGAACATCTCGATGCGCTCAGTGAGGCGCTTGGCCAGCATGCCCGATATATCCGCGAACGCCTCGGAGGTCGCGAACTTCTCCAGCATGGCAGAGACCGATTCGGCCACGGCATGACCTTCCCAGAATTGCGTCAGGTTCTCTGCCAGAGCCTTACGGACATTCTCCATGTACTCGGGCACCCGTGCAATTAGCGCTCCAGTCTCGTTGCGCTCGTGGAACATCTTCACAACGCCCGGTGACGCATCGACCAGCTTAGCCGTCTCCGAGTACCCCCGAGTATCAAGCTCGCTCTGCGTATGCTTGGACAGCTTCGGTATATCGTCCACTGCCCCAATCAAGTCAGCCAAAAGCTTCGACCCACCAGCCCGCTCGGTGTTGTCCCAAATCGCCTCCTCAAGCGGGCGGCCCATCGCTGTGACAACCCTGTCCACGAGCTCCTCATGGAGAGGACTGGGCGCATGGCAAGAGGCGATATGACAACATGGGAACAACGGATTGGAAAGCTGGAGTAAGGCATGGGAGGGATGCAATGCGGATGTCACGGGGCATCGGGAGAGGGCGATCCTTAGACGTGTCCAGGAGCAGGCCCCCAGCGATCCCACTGTACTCCACCAGCGCGTCCTCCACCTCGGGGGTGACGAAGTACCTCTTTGACAGAATCAAAAAAAAAAAAACAGACAAGGAAGAAAAAAAACAAGGGGACAAAAAACACAACAAAAAAAAGAAAGGAGAAACAACACATAGAAACAAGAACAGAAAAAAGACACATAAAACAAAAAAAAAAGAAAAAAAAAAAACAAAGAACAAATAAAATAAACACAAAACACAAAGTAAAAAAAAAAACAAAAAACAAAAAAGCAACAGAGAAAAAAGACAAAAAAAGGATAAAGACAAAAAAAAAAGAAAAAAAAAAAAAAAAGCGAAAAAAATAAAATAAAACAAAAACAAAAAACAATGAAAATCAAGCAAAAAAAGCGGCGTCGACTCGGCCAGGACATCCGATACGCCCTTAATGTGGCCCGTTGTGCTGACCATGCGGGTGCGCAAGTCCAGGGTCGTCGCGTCCTGCTGGGCATTGTCGAGCGCCTTCTGCAGGAGAGACCTGATCCGCTTCGACTGGTCATAGCCCTTGGAGAAGCTCGCCAAAGCGACCTGCGCATCGCGCAAGAGCTTCTTGGCTTCAGGCCACTGCACGACTGAGCCAGCCATCGGCAACGCATTATTCATGATGGCCTCCACGGCCTCGCCGGCAACCTCAAGCTCAGTAGCCAGCGGCATAGCATTCTCGTCGAGCAAGCCCAGCGCTACCTTCAAGGCGTTCATGTCGGCCTTCACCTTGTCATCCGCCCACGATGGTAGAGACGACGCCAGCCGTGCCAAATCCTGACAAATGAATTGCGCTTTGCTCTGCGCAATCATGCTAATCTTCATCTTGCCCATGTCAGTGCACATTGCCATCTGCGACGCTGGCGTTGGGTACCCTGCTTCCGCTAGTTTCTCAGGGCTCAGAAGACACCACATAGCCTCGTCGGGAGTCGCAGCCTTGTGGCATGACACTGTGGACGCCAATGGTTGCAGGTTTCCACGCTAACTGACCACAGTCCCCATCCCTATCAGCGGCGACAATGGGTCGCCTGGAAGCGGGGCAGTGGTCAGCCAGGGGGAACTCGCATCCAGGAGAGCCAACTGATTCATGCATAGTCGGGCCTCGACCTGTTTAGCGATAAACTCCTGGAGCATCCAGGCTGGGAACGGCACCTCCGCTGTAGGAGGTGTAGACAAAAAAGTCAAGGACATGCGGTAAGACCTCGCGAAGTCTCTGTCGAACTCGGAGTTCTTCGCCCAGGCTTTCGCAATGGAGACCGCCTCCTGGCCCTGCTTCCTCAGCGCCTGGATGTCGTCGCTGTCCGCGTAGAGCTCTGGTTCTGGCTGACCCTGCTCAGCTGCGCTTTTGCGCTCCTCCTCCACTTGCTTAGCAGGCACGATCGTGTTGCTGAAATTGGCGACTGCGCCCTCAAGCTGCCTGCGAAAGTTGGCGATGGCGAAGTATTTCTCGTCCTGGGCGCTCTCGCGAAACTCCTTCAAGTGCGTGAGCAGCACCTGGCGCCTGTTCGCGCGCGGGCGGCCAGGTCCCCGGCGGCTGTTCGCACCCTCTGAGTCAGACTCGGTGGATGGACGGATGCGCCGAGGACCCGCCCCAGCCTTGCCTTTGGCCCTGGCGCCTTTCTTTGGCTCAGGCACACTGGGTGCTGATGGCGGCGCTGCTGGCGGCATGGCCACTGGGAAGTACGCGGCCTGAAACACGCCGCAGCTGCTGCCGGGCTGCATCCCACCCTGTGGCGTAGCGACAGCTGGCGGAGCCGGGATGCAAGCTGGTTGCGGCGGAGCAGACGCCTTGGCAAAAAATGCTAGGGGCTTCCTCACCAGATGGCCGTGCAAACAAGCTTGTCAGACTAGACACCAACCCATCAAATCCACGCTGGAGCTGACCGTCGAAGATGGCGTCGTCCGAGTGCTGGTTCAGGCGGCGTTTGCTAACGCCTTGCGTCTCCACTTCTTGGACCAGCCACTCCAGCTTCCCAGGGATGCGGACGCACTGGTGCCCTTTGTACATGCACACCTGGTGGCCCTTACCGTTGCTGTACGGGTCGCCCAGCGACGCCTGATAATCGGCCAGTAGAAGTATCCTGTCTGGAGCTCGCTTCGTCTGCACCTCGTGCTTATTGTAGCTCTCGGCCTTCTCTTGGATCTCGCGCCAGGCAACTCTGACCCCGCGGGTGGCCTTCGCATTCACGAAGTAGGCCACGGCCTCGTGTCGGCGAGTGAAGAACTCCTCGCACACTTCACGGTTGCTGCCAATGACTGGAACCAGCAGGGCGCACGTCTGCGTCGCTGGCTGATCTCCGTAGAATCCTGGCTGGGAGATTGCAAGCCCATCATGCGCCTCCTCTCCACCCCATCTACCCCCGTCGCATCCTCCTCCTTCTCCTCCTGGCACAGAGTACGAAGAGGGGGGGCGGAGAGAAGGAGAGAAGGAGGCGAGGGAGGAGACGGAGGAGGGGGAGAAGGGGGGGGGGGGAGGAGGAGGAGGAGGAGGAGGAGGAGGAGGAGGAGGAGGAGGAGGCGGAGGAGGCGGAGGAGGAGGAGGAGGACATGAAGAATGAGGCGGAGGGGCTGGGGGGGGACGGGGCGGAGGCGCTCGGCTAGCACGCAGAGGAGACAGAGGAGGACGGCCAGGAGAAAAACAGGACACTGAGGAGAACTACGACGTAGGAGGAGGAGGACGTCGATGCTGGGGAGGCGGGGGGGCGGGAGACAAGCAGCAGCAGACGCACCATGCCCAGAAGCCTGCGTGAGTCCGCACACAGTAGAAGCAGAACGAGCCGCGGTTCTTCTTGTTCATTGGCTTGAACCCCCAGTGCAAGCACTCACCATTGAAGACGTGGTCCTGCTCGGTGTCGCGGCGGCCGCATAACCCGCACAGCCTGCCGTCCGGGATGACCTAGCACGCGCGGAGAGGCGGGGAGTTGGGCGGGGAGGTTGCGGGGAGTTGGGGTAGGACGATAGAGAGAAACATGTGACCTCAACCTGCACGCCTGCCTCAAACGTGCAAGAGATCACGATTTTGTCGACGTTCTCAGCGCCCCACAGCCCGTAACGGGCCCGAGGCGGATCGCCGCGGCCGTAGAGAAGGTCGGGCGTCTCTGCTGGGTCAGGCTGGTTAGCGCCAGTGTCTGCCATGGGCCTGTGAGTCCGCGGGGCGACGGGCCAGGCGGTGCGGGGCCGCGGTGCTCGAGTGATCGGCCTCCGCCGCAGGAAGCTCTCGAGCCTCCGAGCTGAACGCGCGACCCACAGGCGGCAGTGGTTCAGCGGCGTGCGGGCCCCGACACAATGGGATAACTATAGGCGGCAATTGCATGATGAGCAGGAGGAGTGCGTTGCGCCGTTGCGAATGTCCTGCGTCCTTCTGCACCGCCCCACCCCTCTCCTCCAGGCTCGGACGAGGAAGCAAGCGTGTGACAGTACTAGCCGCAGGAGGGTGACGAGCGAGGTAGGCACAAGGGAAGGATGGAGGCAGTGAGGGGCGGGGGGGGGAGGGAGGCGCGGAGGGGGGTGCGGAGGGGGCGACGAGGAGACACATCCACACAGTGCGGAATTAGGTTTTACAGAGAATCAGCCGCGACCGACTCTCTGCCCTGGAAGCTTGCCTGCGCGCCTTCACAGGCGACCCTCTCCCTCGGCTTGCCCGCAGCTCGATGGATGAGCGGGGCAACGCCCAGATCATCAGGGAGAGGGTCGGGGCCGAATCAAATGCAAATTCGCCCGGCGCGGTAGGAACGCTGCCTGGAGGTGGGACCCCCGACGCAAGCCGCTGGAAACGGGGGCGTAGACTGTCCGGGCAATTCTCCTCCTCCGCCTCATCCCTCCCCCCATCTACTCCATCCCCTGAAAGTTGCGCGTGCGCTACCCAATCTGTCATCCGTAAACATCAACCTGAAATCCGAAATCCCCCTTAAAGATCCCACCTTCGTCTAATTGCCATCTACGCCGAGTCGCCAATGCACGGGTGGCGACCCCGCCCGACCCCCGAGAAAGCAGCCAAAGCAACCGCGGCAAACGCAAATCCACTGTAAGCATTCCCCACAAGGAGGCGCGCCAATCCGTCCTCAGTGGGCCCGGCACCAAAGAAGCCGATGAGCCTGAGCAGGAGCTCGCCCGTGATCAGCCTGGCGCCGACAGCGGAGCAGGACGATTGGGGCGAAACACGCATCAAAGAAAGAAGCTGAGATGCCCGTGCCCTAGAGGGGATCGACCATGATCGGAGCGGTGAGAAAGGCAATCAAATACTACAGCGAAAGGACGTGGCAACGACAGACGACGGGAGCGGCGGGGCAGAAACAACGAGAGACGACGGGCAGTAAGAGAGAACGGGTATCGGCGGCGCCTCCAATGCCGCGTGCCGTCAGCCTTCATGATCCTCATCATGAGCACCGACTTGGTAGTGAGAGTCGGCATCGCTTCCTTGAACACGGCTCCGCGGCCATCGCTCCCGAGGGAGAAACGAAGAGACAAGTTGATATCTGCCCACTGGATAATCCCTGGAGCTGCTGGCCAGGGGTCGCACTCGTGGCCGTAGATTGCCACCTGTGCTGAGGGGGGGGGGGGGGCTGGGGGGCACCCTCCTCGCTCTCCTCTTCGGCTAGCGCATCCCCCCACCAGTTTGACCCCACCCTCTAGTGCAACTCCTGATCCTGAGCGAGCGCGTCCTCTGCCTCTTTCCCAGGTGCCTCCTCCGCCGTCCCCTGGCCGCCCCCGCTCCAGTGCTAATCCTGATCCTGCTGGAGCGCGTGATCTGTCTCCTCCCCGGGCGCCTTCTCCGCCGTCCCCCGTCGCCTCCAGGCTCCTAGCCCTGGCCCCCCTCACGATCAAGCGGACTCGCAAAATGGCGTCCAAGTAAAAAAGCGGCAACACTGGGCCCATCACAGGGCACATCACATTACGGGTGGGTGGGGGGGGGGGGAGTCTTGCGACGTTTCGACGGGCGGCGCCAAACCCGGCATGACGCGAGGACATGTACAATGCATTGAAGCTGCAGGGCGCGCCTCGATCTGCGCGTTGCACAGCGGGCTCACCACAGTCGCCAACTCTGGATCGTAGTTTGTGAGGTCAGGAGGGCAAGCGATGCCTGCATCCGTGAAGTACTCACCATGTTGTTGCGAAAGACCTTTCAGGTTCTTGATCGCGGGGGGCTCGGAACCCTCAAAGAGGGGAACGCTCTCCCAATCGAAGAAAGAATCGAGCGGCAGCTGTGGGACCTTGATCGCCGGAAGCACGGACGATACCACAGCAAGCCCCGCTCCAACCGAATCATCAAGCAAGGCCACCACCGCCATGCGGATGCGCGTGACGACGGAGCCGTACTCCTGCGCGTTCACACGCATCGCCTAAACGTTGCGGCAGGGCAGGGGAGTGGAGGGGGGGGGGGGGGCTGAGATGAAGTGGATGCGGAGACGGATGGCGGGGCCGATGCAACAACATGGGCACTGGCATAGGGCGGGGGGGGGGGGCAGCCGGCGGAGGCAGGAAGTGTAAGCGAGGCAAACTGCAGGGCAGCACAATCCTTACCCGGGCTATCCTCAAGCGCCTGACCTCGTCGCCCCCCGCCGCCGCCGTCAGGCCCCGAACGATAACGCACGCCAGTGCCGCCAGTGCCAACAAGCTAGTCCCGAGGCCGCGGCACGGGCTGAGTAGCCGTTCTCGCGCAGGAACTCGCAGATGGCGATGCTGTCGGGGCACGCCCCTGGCTCTGCCTCATTCATGAGCGCGGTGAGGTTCTCCAGAACAACGACGCGAGGCCGAGCTTTTTGAATGTAGTCCGCAGTTATGCGCCAAGCCTTGCCTGTTTCTCCCTCGCCACTCTGAATGGGTGACAGACGTTGTCCTCTCGTAGCCCCGTTCAATGCACTTTTGGTCGCGCACGTAAACCCAGCAGAAAAAAAACGTCCACTGGCGGCACCACAACACGAGTCCCAGATTTAAGGTCCAGGACCCTCGGCTTGGAGAGCCTTAGATGCGTCTCAGACAGAGTGTCCCAGAGACGATCGGTGCGTCCACGCATCGATCTACCTACTTTAATGCGTGGCCTGAAGACACGGCAGATCATGGGGCGAACAAAGGCCTGATCGCGCGCACGGTCAACGCCAGACGAGAGAAGAGAAAGCGCCCGAGCCAAAGACGGGGGAGGGTGGGGGCGTGCATGCAAGCGGGACGTCGCTCCGCAGCGCCATCTAACAAATGCGTTGCCGGTGGGGCACGGGGGGCGCGGAACCCAGCAACGCGGCTTAAGGCGCTGGCTCCGCCATGTCTCCAAACAAATACTTGACGCCAGGGAACTGCGAGCGAAGGAAGGCCTGCTGCAAGTTGCCCTTCCCGCATTGGAAGATGCACTCAAACGAAACAGATTTTTGGTAGCGGCGTTCCCACTCCCGCGAAAAGGCCTCGAGGATTTTGGCGAAGACGTCGCTCCCGCTGAAGCCTCTAGCCGGTCGAAGCCGGGGGCGGGCGGGGGGCTTCGTGGATATCCACGAGGCTTGGGCAAGACAAACTCTTCCCCCCCCGCCCGACCTCCACCCACGCATCCCAAGGAACCCAGTAGGAAGCCATTCCCCACTCCCGCGCGTGCCGCCCCATCCCTGGCTGGGAAGCGTCAGATGCACTGAGGGGTGGTGGGGGTGTCCCCCCCCCCCCCCCCCCCCCCCCCGGGGGGGCGGGCGGGGGGGGGGGGGGGGGTGGGGGCCCCGGGGGGGGGGGGGGGGGGGAGGGGGGGGGGTGAAAGGAGGGGGGCAGGACGGGGGGGAGGGCAAACAAAAAAAAAATGGGGGGGGTGCGTCGGAAACAGCGGGAGGGGAGCGTGGGCTTATGAAGACAGACGACAGATGGTTTGGAGAAGATGTATACACATAGCCTGTCCCAACCTTGAAGGCACCCTCGGAGATACCGCCCAGGAGACAGGGCAAGTGCTGAGGTGGGATCTTGTCGTGCATGGCTTTGATGGCCAGTTGCAGCGGGTCGTCTTGGAACTGGGCGGCAAGGGAGGGGGCGGGCTGATAGCCTCCAGCGGTCTTTACAAGTGTCCAGAGGCCTCCAGTGGACACGCGGCAACCCAGGACCTGGCGACAGGCCCCCAAGGGCCACGCCGACAGAAGGGCAACGCTCCGACCTGGCGACAGGCCCCCAAGGGCCACGCCGACAGAAGGGCAACGCAGGACCTGGCGACAGCCCCCCAAGGGCCAGGAGCACTGGCGGACCGACCGACATCGGTCCATGACGGCCTCAAGCGGCCGTGGCCGCGCCAACTGCAGAGTCCTCCCATGCGCAAGCATGAGCCGCAAGCAAGACATTGCACATGCCAA